GCGGAAGTTGACTTCTCCGGGCCTTTTACCTTGGGTTTGTGCGCTCTGCCCTCTCAGCCTACCGCCTGGAAGACACGTTTGGCCCAGACCCAACGATGATGCGAGCCAACTGCCTGGTCCAGACCACAGAGTGGAGCGCCTGTTCCAAGACCTGCGGGATGGGGCTCTCCACCCGGGTCACCAATGACAACGCCTACTGCAGGCTGGAGAAGCAGAGCCGCCTGTGCATGGTCAGGCCCTGCGAAGCCGACCTGGAGGAGAACATTAAGGTTCGTGTCGTGCACCTATGAACTCATTTCCCTGGGATGCTAATGCAAAGGACCAAAGTGAGTTCTCTTGCCACCCTTGTTATCAAAGACCTGTTATCTCCCAAAATATCGAACCATGGAGCTGCTTTGCCCGAGTAAGAGGTGGTGTGAAAGGAGCCACCCCGTTCCCTCCACAGGCAGGGTCTCCGCAGCTAGTTAATTCAGGACATTCCAAGAGAGGCCATGGCAATTTTTGGAAAACAGTCAAATAAAACTGAAAATTCCTGTCCTCAAAATGTAAACAGAAATCAGGCAGCAGCATAAGCGTTAGAACACAGGCTGTTGAGACAAACCACTCCCCCTTGTGGTGATTGGTGCCTCCCTTCTCCCTTGTCTTCCTTAGAAGGGCAAAAAGTGCATCCGTACCCCAAAAATCTCCAAGCCGGTCAAGTTCGAGCTGTCTGGCTGCACCAGCGTGAAGACCTACCGGGCTAAGTTCTGCGGGGTGTGCACGGATGGCAGGTGCTGCACCCCGCACAGAACCACCACCCTGCCGGTGGAGTTCAAGTGCCCGGATGGCGAGATCATGAAGAAGAGCATGATGTTCATCAAGACCTGCGCCTGCCACTACAACTGTCCGGGAGACAACGACATCTTTGAGTCCCTGTACTATAAGAAGATGTACGGAGACATGGCCTAAAGCCAGCGACTGAGAGACAGTAACTCCATTAACTCATAGTCTGTAACTTGAACACATTCACATCTCATTTTTCTGTAAAAATGATTTCAGTAGCACATGCTAATTTAAACGTGTTTTCTAGCTGGGGTGGGGGGGACAGGGCGTGGTGAGAGGCTCCCACCCAATTCAAAACATTGTGCCATGTCTTACAAGTAGTCTACCAACCCCAGACACTGGCTTGAAGGACGTTAACACTTGACGGTGGGGCTACACAAGCGCACAGTGCCAGAATGTATACGGGGTGGGGGGTGCTGGAGGGCAGTGTGGACACCTGTAGAGAGGCTAGTGCCGCTTGGAGTGTGCCTGGGAAGAAAAGGTCGGCTCCAGCAGCAGCATGGGTGTGCATTCTCCAGCCATCCTGAGGCTGAGTTGAGCTGTTCTTGAAGTCAGGACAGCAGATTCAGCTGTGACATTCTGATTCCAGTGACAGTATTGGGGAATCAGAATCCTGTCTAGTAGACTGGACAGCTTGTGGCAAGTTAACTTGCCTGTAACAAGCCAGAATTTTTTATTAATATTGTAAATATTGTGAAGATATATATATATACATATATATATATATATATATTTGTACAGGTATCTAAGTTAATTTAAATTTCTTTGTGCCTTTTTTGTTTTTGTGTTTAATGCTTGGATATTTCAAATGTTAGCCTCGAGTTCTGAACACCGTAGGTAGGGCAGAAAGCTTGTCTGATAATTCAGAGCCTGAAGGGGACACTCGATGGAAATTGTAATCAGAGTGACAGTCCATCCAAAGAGACGGCTTGCTGAAGGTGAGGTCGCAGAGTCCCTGCATATAGGGAATGTGGCATCCTCACTTTCCGTGAATAAATGTCCTTTATTCAAAAATGACTAGTTCTACACAGCTGGTCAGTTTTCCTCCTGGAAGCATGTGCTTGTACTTTGACTATGACTGTTTTTCGGACAGTTTATTTGTGGGGAGTATGACCAAAAGTTACATGTTTGCACCTTTCTAGTTGAAATAAAGTATATATTTTTTCTATAAAGAGCTGGGCTAATCATTTATTCTTGTAAAGCTTTCTGAATTTTCGTGGACATAAATGGGAAGTTTTTGTTTATCATAAATTTACCCATACTTCCTAAATACCTTTGAATATATATACTAATAAATTGGTTAATCAATACAATTTTATATAAGTAACACTCCACACAGAATTAAGTGGCACACACTGGCAAGCATACTATTCATAGTATTTTAAGAATGCTTTAAATGTAACTACCTGTGGATGAATTCACTTTCCACTGACCCTGTGGTATTAGACTTGGTCTTTTTACATTGTTTTTGGCCACTGTAGGCTTATTTCCAGCCCTTCATATCACAAATTAGTCTATATCCTGTATATAGAAAAATGTTTAAACACTTAATTTCTATGTCCTACTGTAGGTCTAAAAGTATATGATGAAATATATATTCAACTGGAGACATTTAATAAGTTTCTGCATAATTCTATTTCCGTGGCCCAATCAAGGTCAAATGATGATATAAATAGAAAAGAGAAGAAAAGCCAATCTATCACTCACTGATGGAAATATGTCTTCAAGGCAGTTCCTTGACTTTCCCAAATCCCGGCTTTGTTAGACCTCAACGTTAATGTACCCTGTTACCGAGTGGTTTATAAGTGATAAAATAGCTGTTGAAGATTCCTGATGTGGGAACTATTGGACCTACCCCGGCTTCTGCTGCAAAGTGAGCAGAAGTGGATGGCAAACAAAGAAACACTCCCAGGGCAGCAAGAAGCCCCATTTTTTCCAGATGAGAATAGCTTTGGATTCCAAGTGTGTGTGTTGTGGGGTGACAGGGGGACGTTGCAGACAGACTAACCTGTCCCAGGATGATTAGCAATGCTGTAGTCATCCTGAGAGACAAAAATAGACCTGAAAATAGTGACTAGTCTACAAACTGCACACCACAAACCAGCGGAACTGCTTCTGTTCCAAATGCGAGGCACATTTCTGGTCCTAACAGTGGGCTCCTGACACACCCATGTGTGTAGGGCAGCGCTGTTAGAAGCTAAAGCGCTTCACTTTGCTGAATAAACACGTGCGTGTATACAAAGCACACTGTTAGCTCACATTTTCTTCCTGTCAATTGACCACTGGCTGAAAAGATGAGGGCCGTGGCAAGTAAGCCTCACTGTTCTGAAAGAAATCAGAGAATTCCAGAAAGATAGAAGCAATAGTGGAAGCAGAGAGCTCACGTTTGCCAAACTCACACACACACAAGCGCATGCACTGCAGAGTAACTAGACTGTGTATCCAAAAGCCCGTGAGCTGTATTTGCAACAAAATTGGGAGCAGAAGACCCCTTGACTCTCAAAATATGCATGAAGACAAATCAGCCCCACCACAGCCTCCCGGTGTCAGTCAGCCCACGCGTGGGGAAGCAGGGAGCAACAGGGAGCCTGACTCTCCTGAGGCAAAGAGCTGTCCTGGATACAGGCAGCCTGTCTGAGAACAGGGTGGAAACTCGTGGGAATTCTGGCGTTTCCCACAAAATCAGCAGGCCAGGGCTTCTTTCCAAAAGAGGACTGAGGAATGGCAGTCAAACTGAGCGGGTCAAGGAGAGAAAGACACTGAGAGAAAGTTCAGATAAGGGTGAGACCAGAGGGTCAAAGGCTCCGGAAGTAAAGCGCCATCCTCTTCATATTGCCTGAGAACATCCAAAGTGTGGGCTCAGTAAAATGTAAAAGCCCTCTACTCAAGTTTCCTTGTTTCTCTCCAGTATCTGTTTTTCTTAGTGTATATCAATTATACAGAATACTGGGTTTTGGCATGGTATCTTCACATATGTATTTCATATTTCATATATAACAGACCATTTATAAAAGATACTTCATACACAAAAGGCTATTTCATGTAAGTTAGGAAAACAAAATTATCAAACCAAGTCTCATACAAAGTTATATGAAGAAAAAAAAATAGAGGGCAGAATGCCTCTATAGATAAGAAAAACAAGCAAGAAATGCATGCCCATAAAACACCAAAACTTCCTACACTTGATCTTAGCCAAAAGGCCGGGAAGCAATCCAAAACTTTCTAATTCAAAAGATAATTAAGAAAATGGTATTATAAGGGCCAGGGATTTAGCTCAGTGGTGCTGCCACCTGCCTCGCAAGTGCAAGGTCCTGAATTCAATCCCTGGTACCAAAAAGAGAAAGAAAGGGAATAGCATTATACACAAACACAAACAATAAGGAAATAAATTAATGACACAAAATAACAAAAATTGGCCAAACTTAGAAATATCATGAAAGAATTAGGAATAAACATATATATCCTACTTGAAGGAACATGGGAGTGAATACTACACAACAGATGGAAGGAAGAAATTAAAACGTTTCAAGAAAAAGTAACAGACTGTAGATGGGCAAAGAAGATCCAATATATTGATAGTAGAAGTTATCGAAGGGAAAAGAATCCATAAATCAAGAAAACTATTGAAATAAAAAAATAGTAAAAAGCACATAATGAGAGCTTGGCATGGTGGTGCATGCCTATAACCCCAGCACTTGAGAGGCTGACGCAGGAGGATTGGCACAAGTTCGGGGCCAGCCTGGGCCCCATAGTGAGTTTAAGGTCAGCCTGAACTACACAATGAGACCTTGTCTCAAAAATAAATTTTAAAAAGCACATGATGAAAGAACTACCATGTACCAAATAAAATCAACCAACACAAATCCATGTTCTAGTAAAATTGCTAGAATTTAAAGAAAAAAGAAAACACACCAGTACATGTAGGCAGAAAGAACATGAGCCTTATAAGTAAAAAGAAAATTAGCTCATCACCAGATTTTTTTGTAGGGCAGTACTCCATGCCAGGAAAAAAATGGATTGACATATTTAAGATAGTCAAGGAAAAAATGTAACCCAAAGAATTTCTAAGCCTTAAAATTGAAATGTGCATATATATATATATAAATGTGGATCAAATTCTCCAGAACAGACTTTCAAAAATAAAGGACAAACGCCAGGAGGGGTGATCAACACACATGATCCCAGCCTGAGGAAAGAGAATCACGAGTTCAAAGCCAACCTGGGTAACATAGCGAGAGCCTGCTTCCTATCTCACAAAAGGAATAAAGGAGCAACCAAACTGTTAACAACATACAAGAACTCGCATACAGCTCCAGTTAACCCTTGCTGAGGAACTTACTAGTGAACAAGCTCCAATGATAAAACTATCTGCGAGGTGTTAACATAAGGACTGGTCATGAGCATTGAACACAACTTCAGACCTCAGATGAAAGGAGGGCTCAAAAGGAGAAAAACCAGGTGCACAGTGTCCTCATCTCTCCCAGCACACCGGTAGCACAGCCATAAGAACTGCTCTGTTGGTAATATAAATATTAATGTTGTTATTCTAAGACTGTGGAGCACAGAATGCGGGATTCAGGAAAGTAACCACTATGAATACTCTGATTCCATCTCCAGTTTCCATCAGTGCTGGCATGGGCTCCATAATATAGATTCTGTGACCCTGAATTTGAATGGAAAGTATCAACATAAACTCATAATTGTATGTTTTTAAAAATAATTTTCTGTACTCTCCCCAAATTTTGTGAAATGAATATGAATTACTTTATAAGAAAAAAGGTTTTTTAAATAAGTAGTCCATCTCCTCCTTAAATTATAGCAAGAAATGGGCTCAAATTGTTAGTCTTCCTTGATTTTGGATTTTGATAAACACTGTATAATACATAATGAATAAATGGCTTAGCTCTACGACCTACTGTATCTTGGTCATGCGCTGAGGAGAAGATACAACACACACACAACCCCACGGTGTTCACATCCGTGAATTCTCATGTCCCATTTTCCCATAGGCCGTAAGTGAAGCCATGGAAGTGTTTCTTCCACAAGAATGTAACTATTCTCTGCCTGGTGAATCACAGCTGTTATATATAGACTGTTGCTAAGGCTAAGGATAAAGTAACAAAGTAAAATATATCCTTAGA